GACTTGTTTTGTGACCTAATATACATATAATATCCTGGAGATGGTTTCATGTGTCCTTGAGAAGAATTTGTATTCTGTTACTGTTGGATGAATTATTTTGTATTGTGTCTATTACATTCATTTGGTCTAAAACACAGTTCAAGTCTAATGTTTCCTTATTGCTTTTTATGTCTGGATGATCTGTGAATTGTTGAAAATGTGATACTAAAGTACCCTACTATTATTTTATTGCAATCTCTTCTCCTTCAGACTTATTAATATTTCTTTATATATTTAGGTTCTGCAATGTTGGGTGTGCATATTTATAATTGTTATATTTTATAGATGAATTGATCCTTTATCATTATGTATTGCCTTCTTTGTTTTGTTTTATAGTTTTTCACTTAAAGTCTATTTTACCTCTGTTCCCTTTCCATCTCCTTTTGCACAAAATACCTGTTTCTATCCTTTTACTTTCAATCTATATATGTCCTTAAATGTGAAGTGAATTTCTTGTATGCAGCATATAGTTAGGTCTTTTTTTTCTTATCCATTTATTCACTCTATTTACTCCATTTATATTAAATTTAAACTATTTATATTCAAGGTAATTATTGCTGTTGAGAACTTACTACTGCCATTTTGTTCATTGTCTTTTAGTTGTTTTCTATATCCTTTGTTCTTTTCTTCCTTCCTTGCTATCTTCCTTTGTGGTTAGATAATTTTCTAAAGTGGTATGCTTTGATTCTTTACTTTTCATCTTTTGTATATCTACTATAAATTTTTGCTTTGTGGTAACCTGAGGCTTACATACACTATCCTATAGTTAGAATAGGGTATTCCAAGCTAATAACAACTTAACTTTGATAGTATAAAAAATCTATGATTTTATACCCTACACATACATCATATTTTCTTCATGTCACAATTTATATCTTTTTCTATTGTATATCCCTTAACAAATTATTGTGGCTATTATTAATTTAACAGTTGTGTATTTTAACCTTCATTATAAAGATATAAGTGATTTACATGTCACTATAAAAATATTAGCATATTCTGAATTTGTATATTTACTTTACAAGGGAGTTTTAGATTTTCATATTTTTTCATGTTACCAATTAGTGTCTTTTTATTTCAGCTTTAAAAACTCATTTTAGGATTTCTTTGTAAGGCAGGTTTGGTGGTGGTAAACTCCCTCAACCTTTGTTTGCCCAGGAAAGTCTTTATCTTGCCTTCATTTCTGGGGGCAAGTTTTCTAAGTAAGGTATTCTTGGCTAGCAGTTTTTTTTTTTTTTCTTTCAGCACTTTGAATATAACATCTCACTCACTTTTGGCTTGTAATGCCTCTGTTGAGACATTTGCAACTAGCCCTATTGGAACTTCCTCATGTGTGATTTGCCTCTTTTCTTTTGGTGCCTTAAGGATTGTCTCTTTGTCTTTGATATTTGATACCTTGATTATAATATGTTTTGATGTATTTTTGTTTGAGTCAAATATAACTAGATATCTTTCAGCTTCGTATAACCAGATATTTATATCTTTCCCCTGACTTGGAAAGTTTTCTGTTATTATTTCTAAATAAGCTTTCTTCCCTTTTGTCTTTCTCTTCTCCTTCTTAAACTACTATAATTATATTATTTGCTTCATTGATGCTGTCCCCTAAGCCCCATAAAGCCTTATTTATTCTTTTTTCTTATCTGACTATATATTTTCAAATAACCTGTTTTCATGTTCACAGATTCTTTCTCCTGCTTGATCAATTTTGCTGTTGCTACTCTATTGTATATTTAATTTCATTCATTATAATTTTCCAGCCCCATCATTTCTCTTTAATTTTTAAAAATAGTTTTAATGTCTTTGTCAAATTTCTAATTTTAGTCATTTATTATTGTCCTTATTTTGTTGAGTTGTTTCTCTGTATTTTATTGAAGTTCACTGAGCTTCCTTACAACAATTATTTTGAATTCTTTGTCAATCAATTTGTATATGTCCATTTCTCTGAGATCAGCTACTGGGAAATTACTGTAGTTTTTTTTTTATTATTATTTTGGTAGTGTTATGTGTTTTTGGTTTTTCATGTTTTTTATCCCTTTACATTTAAGTCTGCATATTTGGTTGAGCAGTTCTTACTTCCAGACATTATGGGCTAGTTTCACTGTGGAAAGACTTCCCCCTATATGGGAAGGTGAGTGCTGGTTTGGGTGCAGTGGTTCTGACACCAAGGATAGGGCAGTTGTGTGGTCTTTGTACATCTCTGTCAATTGAAGTTGGTGTTGATGATGATTGCCAAAGCTGTGTTTGTCCAGAGTGGTAGTGAGGGTTGTTGTGTCTTTGGTGGTGATGGCTACTAAGATCTTCCCAATCTTTATTTTTTCCCAGTGGAGAAGTTGTGGCTGAGGGAATCCCTCTTGGCACTGGGTCCAGCTTGTGGTTTCATTCACAGTGGCAGTGGGACTTATTTTTGATGAGTTGTGTCCATGGAGTTGCCATGAGCTTAGGCATAAGGTGCAAATGTATAAAGGGACTACAGCTCTAAGATCTAGGGTGATAAGGGCATTGATGCCTGATGTGTAGTCACCCCTGCTGCTGCATTAGTAACAATATATAAGATGCAGATACTTGTGAAGCAGCCAGGGGAACAGACAATGGGAGCTCAGGCATTCACAGAGTTAGAGAAACTCTGGGGTTGGGTCAGAGCCTAGCTCTCCATTGCATCTAATATGGTACCCAGGGTACAGGCACACCTACCGCTGTGTTGGTAGCAATTTTTGAGGTGTATATGCCTGTGAAATGGCCAGGGAGCTGATAATGGGAGCACAGGTGTACACAGAGGTACAGTGGCTTCAGGGTTATGGCAGGGCATAGCTCTTGTGCTGGCTGAGCCACTGCCCAGAGCAGGAACATACTCAGAGAGAAAGTGGCTCTTGAGTCCAGGGTGTAACCTAGCTTACTACAGCAATGGCTTTACAGTGTGAGACCTGGGCAGGCCCAATGCATGTACATAGAAAGGGCTAGAGTGTAGGCACTTGTTGGGAAGCTACATGTCTGGAGTTGGGGAACACACAGGGTTAAGAGAGGTGGTGGCATTGTTCTTTCACCAGCCTGATAGGTATAAAGTGCTATCTTATTGCTATTCAATTTTGTACTTTCCTGTAAGATAGTACAATGAAAAATGTATTTTCATGCCTCTGATTATTCATATTTTTTTTTTTCAGTTTTGGCTGGGGCTGGGCTTGACCCCACTACTGTCCACATATGGGGCTGGTGCCCTACTCCTTGAGCTACTGGATCCACTCGGATTATTCAGATTTGTGTGTATACACACACACACACACACACACACACACATATGTATGCATGTGATGGGCTGAATTGCATTTCCGCACAAAACTTATGACTTGAAGTCTTAACCCACAGTACCTTATAATGTGTCTGCATTTAGAGATAGTGCCTTTATGTAGCTAATAAGCTAAAATGAGGTCACTAGGGTAGGCCATATCCCAATATTACTGGTATCCTTATAGAAAGAAGAGATTAAGACACAAACAGACATACAGAGAGGACACCATATGTGGACACTGGGAGAAGCTGATCATCTGCAAGCCAAGGAGAGAAGTCTTAGAACAGTGTTTTTCAACCTTTCTTATCTCATGGTATACTTGAACCTATAGGTTAAACTTCTGCAGCACCCTTAAATTGTGTTGATTTTAAAACAGAGCAAAAAAAAAAAAAAAAAGAGTACACTTACTGTGCTTTGAACCTCTTTTGAAAATAATTTGTTTATTTATTTATTTTTTACTTTTTTTTTAGAGACAGAGTCTCACTTTGTCACCCTTGGTAGAGTGCCCTGGTTTCACAGCTCACAGCAACCTCTAGCTCTTGGGCTTAGGCAATTCTCTTGCCTCAGCTTCCTGAGTACTTGGGACTACAGGTGCCTGCCACAATGCCCAGCTATATTTTGTTGCAGTTTGGCCAGGCTGGGTTCAAACCTGTCACCCTCAGTATATGGGGCTGGTGCCCTACTCACTGAGTCACAGGTACCACCCATGTTTGTTTATTTTTTGAGACAGAGTCTCACTCTGTCACCCTGGGTAGAGTGTTGTGGTGTCATAGTTCACAGTAACCTTGGGCTCCTGGGCTCAAGCAATCCTCTTGACTCAGCCTCCTGAGCAGCTGGGACTATAGGTGCTCTCCTCAACACTCAGCTAGTTTTTCTATTTTTACTAGACACAGAGTCTCCCTCTTGCTCAGACTGTCCTTGATCTCCTGAGCTTAGGTGATCCATCTGTCTCGGCCTCCCAGAATGCTAGGTTTATAGGCATGAGCTACCATGCCTGGCCCTTTTGAAAATAATTTAATTAATGATCTTTAAAAATTTTTGCAGTACACCTAAGATCCTCTCATGGCACACCAGTGTGCTGTGGTAAACTAGTTGAAAATCACTGCCTTTGAAAAACCCAAGCCTAGGGCAGCACCTGTGGCTCAAAAGGGTAGGGCGCTGGCCCCATATGCTGGAGGTGGTGGGATCAAACCCAGGCCCGGCAGAAAAAAAAAAAAAGAAAAAGAAAAAAAGAAAAACCCAACCCTGCCAATACCTTGATCTCAGACTTCTAGCCTCTAAATCTGTGAGAAAATAGATTTCTGTTGATCAAGCCAGTCTGTGGTACTTTGTTATAGTAGCCCAGGAAAACTAGTACAATGTATGTATATTTTTATATATGATTATATAATCATGGAGAGAATATGTTTTAAAATGTATTACCTGGACATAGAATAGTTGGTGAAAAGGTGTAATATAGGAGATGCAGAAATAAAAGGTAGGGGCAATCAAATAAATATTGGAAGGAAAAAATAATGACTGGATATGCATTAATAATTACCCATTTATGCATTTATAGGTAACATAATTGTTAAATTTATATGTATATATATATTTCATTCATTATCTGGACTTAAGTTTGGTTGTATGATTTTCCCTTTATCTGATACCCACTGAATTCAAGTTGTGCTTTACTCACTGTGCATGATGTTGGAGGATTGGAACTCTGGATCCTGGGGCTGCACTACAGTTGCGTTGGGGAGGAAATGTTGCATATTCTCTGTGAGGTACCAGCTTCGATTCTCATCAAATACAGAAAACAGGATAACATTTCTCTTGTCTGACATCATCTGTTAATTATATACATTGTAAGAGGGAAAGAAATACTATTGATACTGTCAGATAGTAATAACACTCAGTGAAAATGTAAGTGATGGCATGCATGTGATATATCTAATCCTTTGTGTCAATCCCATTTTCTCTTAGGGTCACTATTCTGACATATACCAGGCTTGATTATGAGGGTGGGTGCTATCAGCAGTGAGTTTATGTTTAGAAGAAATGTGTCCTCACAGCAAGATGGTGACTGCATCCCCTAAACTTACTTTCTTCTGGACCTAAGGCCCTATGGTGATTGATTTTTTGGTATAGTTTGTAGCCTCATTCTTTCCACATTCATATTAGAGGCTTTTCAGTGTCTTTCTTAAATAAGTTAGTTAATTCAAATAAGAGGAATGCCTTTCCTAAACTTCCATCTAGTAACTGCCCTTCCACAATGCCACTCATCTATAAAAAATCAAAAATACTAAAACAGAAATCAAATAGCAAAGATAAGGCAAACCACAAAAATGTTATACAACACTAATACCTTAAGTTTGCTGTTTAAAAAATTAAAAATTTTCTGAAGAGCACTTTGAGTATGAATCAAATTTATGAGTCCAGCTGGGCACAGTGGCTCATACCTATAATCCCAGCACTCTGGGGGGCCAAGGCAGGGGAATTGCTTGAGCTCAGGAGTTTGAGACCAGCCTGAGCAAAAGTAAGACTCGTCTTTACTAAAAATATAAAAAAAATTACCCAGGTGTTGTAGCAGGCACCTGAAGTCCCAGCGCCATTTGGGAAGCTGGGGCAGGAGGAGCGCTTGAGTCCAAGAGTTTGAGGTTGCTGTGAGCTATGACGCCATGGTACTCTACCCAGGGTGACAGAGTTAGACTCTGTCTCAAAAAAAAAAAAAAATGAGTTAGTGTCTTTCTAATTGAATCTGCTAAGGTTTAATGTGCAATCCTCGCTAATTTGTATAAATTTCATTTTGCATAACTAATAGCTATAGAAACCAAAATGCTGAGGAAGGAGTATGGAGAATATTGAGGTATATTTTAGTCTTCTTCAAAAGACCAGTGGAAAAGCTATAATTAGGAAAAATTTGTCAGGATGAATATGTGACATATGAACTCAGAATTTGTGATTTGTGTTCATGTGCCACATGTTTTATCTGCACATTAAACTTCATATGCTTTACTCTTTGAACCAATGAAATGTTTTCAGACTACTAGGAATCTTAAGTGTCATAAATAACAAAATGGACATTTATGGCAATGAGTTATTCTGGAACCAAGCAATGAGTTTTTGTGAAGAACTAAACTTTTCTTGTTCTGAGAATTTAGCTTTTTGGTTGTTTTTTGTGTTTTGATTTTGGTTTTGACAGAGTCTCATTCTATTGCTCTGTCACCCAGACTAGAATGCAGTGGCACCATTATAGCTTACTGTAAATCTCCAACTCCTGGTATGAGCCAATACATCAGCCATTAGCTTTATTTTTTAAAGCAGGAAAAGGGGTTCAAATTCTAACCATATTCTGAAATACTTTATATTTTTCCTCTATTTTGCTTAACAAATATTTATTGAGCTCTCAATAAATTCCATGCAATTTGCTATATGCTGCAGATATGTTAATTTTAAGGTGCTTTTGAGTCACCCATAATGAGATGTCCAGGAGAAGTCTAGGCCATAGGCATAAATTTAGGGGTCATCTTAAAATTGGACATGTATCCAAACTGCATATAGAAGTAACACACTGTATCCTATGAGAGAATTAATGTACACAATTATGATCTAATAAAAAACAAATTAAAAAAAATTGGACATGTAAAAATGGCCAAGATCACCTAGAACATCAGTTCTTAACCTGTGCATCATGACCCTTTTGGGGGTCAAACGACCCTTTCACAGGGGTTGCGTAAATACATCCTGCATATCAGATATTTACATTAAGATTCATAACAGTAGCAAAATTACAGTTATGAAGTAGCAATGAAAATAAATTTATGGTTGGGGGTCACCACAACATGAGGAACTGTATTAAAGGGTGTGGCATTAGGAAGGTTGACAACCACTGACCTAGAGAGATCAAAATGTTGAACTGTGAATGAGTATTATAGAAAGACTCTAGGATCTAGATTGTATGGTCTATATGTCATTTATTATACTAAACTCAAACTCAGTAAAAGCTAAGTGGAACCCAGCTCAATTCTTTCATAGGCCAATACTGCAGATTACTATAGTTTCTGCAATCTATAGGGGAACATACACTTAGAGTTCATATGTACCATATTCCATTTTTAGTTTCAAACCCAGCCCTCAGAAAGGGAAGAACTCACCGGGTTTCCTGTTTGATCTACAGACTCCTTGTAGCAGATGAGGAGAGGGCCAATGAGTCCTGAAGCTAGATCTCTCTCCAGATTAATGAAACTAGAATAATATCGAGTCAGACATCGAGGATCTGATTTAGTTGGCCCATCTTCTAGAGTCACTGTCCATTTATACTTGAATATTTCTCCTGGCAGAATTGGTAAATCTTTCAGATGTTTTACACCTACCCACACCCAAACCCAGAAATAATTTGATTAGAGTTTAACAAACCACAGATTGGTAATCATGATGTTATCACAAGGCCTCTACAAATCCATATGCACATATTAACTTTCTCAGTAAATGGAAACTAAAATTGCCTCTATTATAAGTTTAAGATTCACACACTTTTTATAATAAAAAGCTGTAGTTGACAATTAGTTGACTGAGGGTTCCAGGCCTGAATATATGCCAAAGGGCTGGGCACTGAAGTTTAAACATATATATGGCATTAAGAAACTGATACCTGTTCTGTTGCTACTTCTTTGTGGAGGCAGCTCTCACCAGGAGGTCTGGATCTCCTCCTCCCATCCCCAGTGGCCATGCACTAGGGCACTGATTGCCTTATAGTCAGGGGGAGTTTTACGCTCTTCTCATCATGCGGTTAGAGGTGGAGATGAGGGGATGATGGAGGATGAAGCAAGTCCAGCAATCAGGTGGGAACGTGCAGAAACAGCCTCTGCTGTGTTGGTGGTATTTTTGCAACAGAACATGCTAGCCAAATATCAGTGACTCATCTGTCGACTCCCTCCTACACAAGCCCTAGCAGTTAATTCTGGTGGCCCCAGAAGCTAGCTTACGTGAGTGCTCAAAGCACACCTCCTCTACCGCTCTGCGCTGGAGCAGCCTGGTCTAGCCCAACAGGCGCTGCTGCCACTGCTACTATGCAGATGAGATGGGAAAATGCACTGTAGGCATTCAGCATAGTGCTGGCACGTGACTACACAAAGTGCACCCCATGTTTAGAGAAACATCAAAGGAAGGCTTCAGTACTCGCCAGCACCCAAGAAAAGCAGGCTTAGAGAGGAGGCATTGAAGGTTTCCTTGGAGAGCCTCAGGAAATCCACATGTTTCTGAAGACAGAAACCCTAGCAATGGTTTATGACTGATAAATAGCCTCATTACAGTGAGTAATCAACAAGCTACTGCTTACTGAGCATATGTGCTATTTGTCGTCCCACTGAGGGAACACAGAAGAACTGCAAGGAGCTTCCTTCTTCAAGGGAAACAGGACTGAACTGTGAAGGGAGGAGAAGTTTCAGCTGCAAAGAGCAGAGGTGGTGGAGAGTGCAGAAGACTTCTCATAATCCCAAAGAGGAAACTACCCCAAAGCTCTTAGGGCCATGCTGTTTGGTTTGCTGTGGTTACTACAGCTTTGTGGAATAGGCACATTGTGAGCTGGTTGCTGGAAGATAGAGTGAAATTGGACATAGAGAAAAACAATCCAGGATGGAGGTGCTACATGGGAAGAAAGGCAGAAAGGAGAAGTGTTTGACTAGAGATGACGTTGGGTGCATGGGACAAGATGCCCAGGAGAGACCCCATCAGCAATGACCTTCCTGCCTTCACCTGAGCAGGGTGAGACACTGTGACATCAGTGTGTCTCCAGACCACTCTTCTTTGGAACAGGTGATGGAAAGGGTGCTGATGTGAACAGTCCAAGAGTTACTGACATCTGGCTTTGGGTACAATAACACATAGTCTATTCTGACTCCAGATTTACCTCTTCTATCTACTTTGCCTTCGTTGTTATTGAAACTAATCTACAGCATCTAAGAACACAGTCATTGAGCTAGGTGGAGCAGTCCCTATAAATGCTAAGGGTGTCAAGACTAAGCAGGCCAAGAATAATATTGACCAGGATAAGGATCTACATTTACTGCTATAGAAAGGTGGCCAGAATGTGGTGCTGACTGAGAAAAAAAGAGGTTCTAGAAAAAGTATAAAAAATGTGGCAAATAAAATTATAAACTGCATTGAGGTTTTTAAAATACTGACTCACACAGCCAAAATGTACATTTCCTGAACTTTCTTCACTAAGCCAACTGTACTTCCTCTGATACCCTAATTTTCCTGATGATGCTGAAATAGAACATGCTAATTTGGGTAATTCCACGTCCATGCACAAAAATAATTGATGGCATCAGCATAGTTATGGAAATTACACTTATTAGTTAATTACAGAACCAGCAGAGGGAGCACAAACTCTGCATAAGTAATAACCATTTCTTCTAAGTGTCTTAGTAATGGTGGTAGGAAGAAATATACATGAAAACTAAATTATTAGCATCAGAAGATGGTTTTCCCTTTCTCAAAACAGGGAAATCTAATACACTGTCCATACAGTCTACATGTAAATGTTGACTTCTTGGGTAAGTAAGGTCAGATGGTGAGACTTGCTAGAGTTGGCAAACATCTCCTTGCTCACCTTGGTATCAGAGTGGCTTTCATTTTAGTTTTGCTCACCCTAAACAAAGTCCTAAGGGAGCCACTCTTATTCTTCTAAGATGTAATCAAGATTTATATTTATGGTTGAATAAAGATTTGGCAGAAGTAAGACAAAATCATGTCTACTGGTACAAAGAATGAAAAAATAATTATTTTTTAAAAAACTACCTTAAGGCTGGGTGCCTGTGGCTCAAATGGCTAAGGCGCCAGCCACGTACACCTAAGG